TTTAAAATTAGATTCAAGGGTACTTCCCAGGCTCTAAGAAGACATAGAATATAGGTCACATTGGAGTTCTTTTCATTCTTAGGATATGCCACGGTGATCAGTATGCACCAGAGCTTACACAGGCTGTGGTTTAATAGGTGTATCTTGTTCTCACAATGATAGAAACAAGTATTTCTTTGTTTCTCTGTCTACTTGTTGCCATACACATTTTCGTACAGCCTTTGAGGTAGTATCTCCTACTGGTTAAGGATGGAGGAATTTACTGGAATGCGTTAGCTACATGGATACATGCAATTCTTCTTCTCTTACAGATTCTGTAGGGTTGGTTAGCAGCTCTTAGGGTGGATGCTGATGATGCAGTTTGCCAGCCTTCTTGAAAATGCTGTTTACTGTGCCAGTGTTACTCTGCAGAGCAGACTCCCCACAGGATTCCCTGCAGGGACTTGCTAAGTGGCTTGGTTTTGGAAGATTTGTTTAGTGAAACAAAATTGAGAGGGTATTTCGTTTAGGCATTTAACTTGGAAGCATTGTAATTTTATTCTATCATGGTTCAGTGATACTTTGTTATTGTAAATGTAATTCTCAGAGTGCTTTTTAAAGAAAATACAGTCACTCCCAAAGAAGCTGTATTAGGTTTAAATATTTTTGTTTAGACTTGTGAGTCTATATACCTTTACTGACACAGTTTACCAGCTAACATTGACTGTACCTAAACCTTATAAAATCAGAGGAGACTGTTATAATGAAATACTAAGAGCTGAGTCAGTTCAGAAACTTGTCCAGTCAATTTAGGTTGCTCTTCATAGTTCTGATGCTGCTGACCACCGTTTCTTAGGAGATCATACAGGACAACTTGCTGTCAGTTTTTATCACTTGTAATTTTTACTTTGCCAGGCTGAATATTCATCTAATGCTGACTTGAAGGGGGGCGTATTTCCATCTGAAATAGCCTCCTGATAATCACTGAAAGGAAAGCCTGACAAGGTAGTGTTACACGATAACTTCTTTTACACGATAACTTCTTTCCTTACGGAGAGTTTGTTTATGATATATGGCAGTCTGATGTGTACTGCAAGCAATCACTTCATGCTTTGTAACTTGCCATGCGCTGTTATTTGCCTTCTATAGAGTAGTTTAGGATACTGCCCTCTGATAGTCATGGGTGCAGGTCTTACCACTGTGATGGTGATAATTTGTAAAGTGTAGAAAATGCGCATGAAGTTGGTCAATACCAAGCCCCTTAACATTAGCTGTGTGGGGTACCCAGAGCCCTATTTCCTGTGCTGAGTTTCTCTTCCATTGTAAGGATTAATCTGTAGTGCTAATTTTGCAAATCCCAAACCGTCTGGAAATCTCTTCAAAGATTGTTTATCTTCCAATCTTTATCTTTTTTTTTTTTTGTATAAACACTGTTTATGTATAAACACTGTTGTTTTTAGTAGCATATATATTTTAGATTTGGGGCTTCAGAACCCTTTAGATTTATTTCAGCTGGCATTTCCTCAGGAGGGAAAAAAAAAAGATAAGAGTATAGAACAAAACAGTTTCCCTTGGGTCAAATCCAGCCCTTTGTCATAGTTGCCAAGTATATGGACTGCATTTGATGACTGTAGTTCATAAACATGTAAAGCTGTCTTTGCTGTTGATGCCCTAGCAGAAAGTTATTTAGAGAATGATATTTCTTCATCTTTAAATGGCCAGCAAAATTCTGGTTTTCACTCTCTGTTCATAGCAAGTGTACACAAGTTCTCCTTGTGCCAGTACTGTTTTCCAGATTAATTTACTGTTCTTTTAGTAGTATTTACACTTCTGATGTGTATATGGAAAGTTCTCTTATCCTTTTTTTATTTTGCTAGTCTATGTATGCCAAGCTGTCTCAGTCTTGCAAAATAGGCTCTATGTTCCCTTGATCATTCTCATAGTCCTTCATTGCACCTGCTGCAGTTGGGGTAATGTTTCTTGAAACTGGACTGTTCAGTGTGTTTTGGCGTGACCTAAGACATACTGTGAAAAGTCGAATGATACACCAGATTCAAAATCAGCATTTCTAAACTAGAAGCAAAATTTAGAGAAGCTAATTTGATCAGCTGGAACACTGTATTCTAGGAGAAGTTTTAGCTGTGTCATGAAATTCTTCTTTTCAAAGGAAGATAGAGCATAGAATTACAATTTAAGATCCCAATTTAGTTCTGAAGAGCACAGCTTTGTGTTTATGAGCACTTTTCATTATGTGTCATCTCATTTGGGTTTTCCTAGACCTCAGAATCATTCAGTATTTATTCCAAAGCCTTTGTATTTACAAAGCCTCTTATTTTGTAGTAGCAGACTTGATTAGTGGTTACGTACTTCTGAGAAAACGGTGAAGAGGATGAGACCCAGACCAGCTGTCAAGTACTTCTGATAGAAAGCAGTCCCCAGCCAAAGAGTTCCTCACACGTGTGGACTTGTCCCATCTGGTTATTCTCCGCTGTAGTCTCTTTAATCACTTTACAGTGGTCTGGTATGTAAGGTGCTTGATAAAACAAGATTTTCGTAATTTAAAAATTCTGATTCAATTTCGGTATCAAGCCTTCAATGAATCCGTGGCATATTTCATCATTCAGGCATTTACTTCTTAATTTTAGGGAGTAAATTCCTACAGGACTCAGGAAACTGTTGGTTAGCTGCAAAAAAAAACTTCATTTAAAAAAGTATTGTATCATCCCTTTATTAATAGTGAACATAGTACTTCCACAGCACAGGGAAGGAAAGTGACCCTTACAAACACTCTCCAGCCTTTGCAATGTGCCCATCTCTATAAAAATGAATCAAGAAAAGAACAGTTGAAATAAATCAGCATAGTGTGAATTATAGGCACTTTAAAATTGTTCCCTGTTCTGTCTTTAGATTACTCATAAAAACTTCTCGATGTTTTTACAAGTTCTAACATGAATCTTTCATTCCTTTTCATTTTCTGACCCTCAATACTTCTCTTTCCCCTCTCCATAGGATTTCTCTGTGATTCTGTTGTTCAAAGGGGTTATTCCTTTGTTTGAGTGCAGAACCTTTCCTGCAGTTCTTTCTCTCTTCTCTCCCTCATTGGGGATACAAATACTGAGTAGTTGATATCCAAATCCTGATCCATCTCAATTATCTCCAATAATTAGTGCACTTTTCTTAAATTTTGTACAGTTCAGGATCAAATCCTTTAGTTATGAACCTGCTTTGTTCCAGTTGCAATGAAATGAAATCTAATGTTTGAGTCAGCAAAGAATAAAGTGGTATTTATAATATAAATATCTACCATAGTTTTCTGCAATAAAATTTTGTGAAACCCAATCTCAGTTTGGAGTTATAGTATGAAAGAAAGGTAAAACTCATCTTGAACACTGCCTATGCTTCTCAAGCTGGGGTATGTGTTTAAGGCTAGTATAGATTCAACCACAGGTCAGCTTTTTTTTTTTTTCCTTCTTCGGTTGTATGATCCTCTGTTCATTGTTTGGGAACCAGTTTAAATACATACTATCCTAGTGACATTGCTAAATTAGTACAATTGAATGTGGTACATGGCTTATGCTTTTAATGAAATATCTGATTATTTTATTTCTTCTTTCATGATGTCTGCCAATATCTAGTAAATCTTCATCAGTACACTGCAAGTACATTTTCTTTATCTGACACAAAAACATTAATTCAATAATGTCTTCAGCACAGCTGGTCACTTTCTGTGAATTAATGACTAGCTGGGATGAGTTAATAATTTAAGATAATCACCTAGTAGTCTCCCTCAGAAAACCATTTATTCCAAAGAAATGTCAAGAGCAAACATGGGTAATGTAGGGGGAAAAACTGTGTGATACATTAATAAATATTTAGTGATGGCAATAGTACTGGTAGCTCTCAGAAGCATTTAGCATGACATTTGTCTGTATACAAACAGTGTAGTCTGGCATTGATAATTTTTAGAAAAATACATACTGTATGGGAGAACGGTTGTATCGAAAAGTAACCTTTTCAATAAACTTTCAATCTTTATTAGACACTTGTATATTTTATGTGATGTGATCTCAATCTAGGGTATTTTTTTTTTACGACTGGAGTAGTAAAAGTACAAATGAAGTTTTTAAATTCTTTTTAATTGTCAAAGAGCCATTTAACAATGTAAATGCAAATGCATTTAATTTTAATTTTCTGTATGAGCACCTTCTAAAGATTTTTTCTATTAGCCAATTCAAGTGGAATAAGACATTTATTTGAGGAAATTTAAGGGAACATTTCTGCCTCTTCTTAAGTAATGGAATCTGTTCATTCTGAAATAGTTAGAAATTCAGTGAATAAGTGGAGTGCATTAAACATCCATCACCAAGCAAGGCCTCTGTTAGGAAGCAGCATTATGCAGAAGACATTATAAATTGTACACGGATGACGTAGTGGCATCTCTGTTAGCATGGCTATGAGGCAAGGGTGGTTCTTTGTAAATAAAGTGTGTGAGATATTCGTATAAAGAGCTAATGTTAGGTCATTGTGTGCTGTACAGGAGATAATCTGATTTATTTAAAAAAAAATGTTGTCTCACTCATCTTTCATGTATGAAAGTAAACCAGACCCACCATTAGAAGGAACCTAAAACAAATTGTTCTGGTACGCTGTACATTTTAGAGATGTCTTAGAAATATTGGCACTGCCTTCCATTGTTACCACCAAGATTGAAAGAAAACAGTGCTACTAATGCACTGTTTGCTGCTTATAACAATATTTTTAGGGTCAAAATAGTTTGTGCAGGGACATAAAGATGTCCTGTGCTTTCTGCGAGTCATCCTCAGTAGTGCCATGACTGACTACTCACCAAAGGAAAGCCGTAATACAAAAAGTTTGCGATATTAGATTAATGTTTAACAAACCAGGGTAATCATGGAACTTTTGTATCAAGAAGTATTTGTATTCAGTATTTTGTACTGAATGCTGTGGGAGCTGGCATATTGTCCAGCTAAATCTGATACACACACTCTCCTTTTTCACAGTGTATATGTTGAGAACTGTTATTTGGTAGCCCAGTGACCTTTGCCTAAGCAAGCCATGAAGCTCTGTCTAGTGTCATGCCAGCACTGGATGCCCAGTGCACTCAGAGGACTGACTGGGATCTGAATCTCGAAGATATCGGTATGGGAGATCTTACAAATAGTCAAACAAACCTCCTGTTTCTATCTCCTGTTTTCTACTCTGGGAACGTTTGCTGCTGTTCATGTAAACATACTGAATTTGCTATTGCCTCAGCAAGACATACCTTTTTATCTATGGAAAATAGATAAAAATGCTTTTATCTATTGCATTTGGAATAGATGTAAAATGCTTTTGGAATATGTATTTTAATTTTTCAGCCAAGTAATCGCTTGCAAAAGTTCAGACTCTTCAAACTCCTCATTTGAAACAACAAGCCCCAGCCTTAATCTGTGCCTGTTCATGATTTTTATGTTGATTTTAAACATAGAGTTTGAAAAATACTTGTCAAAACTCTGTTGAGAATCTTTGCCTGTCTTGTCTTACCCTCTGATGGCTTTGTACTAATTCTGTCTCCAGTTCTTCCACAAATACAATGAAAGTAAACAACAGAGCAAGTCTGTAAAAGTGAACTAAAATGCAAAGCATGTCTGCATAGGCAGTGAGGTGAAATGGTTACTATGGAGAGCCAACAAACTCAGCTTCCAAATATCAGACTTGGCTTTCCTAAGTCATATATCCTTCACCCGATGCTAAATTATTTTCTCCACAAAGCTTAACATCACTTAAGCAAAACTTCAGCACACAGGATGTTACACGGAGCAATTGCAAGGCACAACTTGAATCTGACACAATTAAGAAGTGTAATGATAGCTTATGAACATGCAGTGTATTCTGAACTTCAGTTAAAGTCCATGGTAAAGTATGGTTCAAACTTTTTTCAACATCAGTTTAACAACTGATTTAAATTATTGAAAAAAATATCTGAGTGGTGATTTTATGTGCTTTCACCATACTTATTTATATGGGACAGGATTTTCAACAGGTTCTGTGTTACCAGGCTCCAGGTGGTCTGGAGCACTTGCCTTCTTTGAGACCTCCCTTCTGATTATGAAATAAATAAGGAAAATTTGACAGTATTTAACCAGGATTTTTCTTATCACTAGAACCGTGTAAGCCTTGTATCTTCAGCAAAGAGATTTCCATGGAGCACATGCCTACAAAAAGTGAATTTTGGGGGCTTTAAATAATTAGATCTGGTAGACAAATGACAAGGGAGCCTTCCCTGGCTATTTTGTAACTTTAAATACACTTGTAGAAAATATTAGCTTATAGCTTTAGACTCCAGCTGACCAACGCTAGGCCCTAAAAATAAGGTTATGTTTGCATTGGGCAAGTTCTAGAAAAATCTGTATGGGGCAGGGAAAACATTTCATAAACTTCACTTAGGAATTACTTGATTAAAGGTTGAGTAAAGCATAACAATTGTATGTTTGCCACTTGGAAAGCCTTTGGCAAAAGACTGAAAGTAATGTCTGAGTGACTTTATTGCTTTGCTAGCACAAACAAGCTTGTTTATACATGTCTCTGTTTTAAGATTTTATTCTTAAATATTCCTCAATTATTTTTTACTCTATTTTTAAAGCCTTCTCTACTGCTAACTGTCATTAGGAAAATTATAAACCCTTTTTCAGCACTTGCTTGCTGTGGCACTTTGTGCTCAGTGTGCTGCCAGCAAATGAAGTTGCCTTAAGCGTGGATTGGTTTTGCAGAGTTCAGAACACGAAGAAGTGGACAGGAGATGCCAGCGCACTGACCGTAGCAGCACAGAACACAAAGGGAAGGGGTGACTCATGTATGTTTGGGAAGTGAAAAAGATTGCAATTACACTGAGAACTAATGAAACGAGAGAAGACGGTGAAATGTAGTCAAGGACAGGCGATCTAAGAATGGGAGAACAAAGAGTGAGGCACTGCTCTACTCTGGCTGTTTGCCTAGCACATAGTCAGAACTTCAGATAATTGCACATTTTTGGGGATGTTGGTCAGCACTTCAGTCATTTAAAGAGTTCCTGTAAGTTTCAGTTCATTTCCAAACGAAGAGCAGCAAGTGGGAAAAGCATATTTGCATATATATTGTTTTTATAAGACTTCTGATAGTACTGACAAAGTTCAATTTCTTGTAAGAATGGCTTTTAAAATGGGTTCATTTTACAGCTAAAATAACATGCCTTTACAATGTTTCGTGTACTATTTCTTTAAGTAGAATAGAACTTCAGGAAAATCGAGAGGTTGAGGACCCAGGAAGTAGTCTTGTCCAGCCTCCTGTTCCAAAGCAGGTAAACTTCACAGTTAGGGCAGCTTTCTCAGGACAGGGCCTCACCCAGCTGAATTTTGAAAATATCCCAGAATGGAGATGCTACAGCTTTCTCTATCTGTGCTCTGTTCTGCACTTCTTAAAAAGAGTCTGGCTGTGTATTCTCCCATTTTTAATAGTAAAAGACTATTAGATTCTTCCTTGGCTTTCTCTTTTTCCAGGCAGAGCAAACCCATATTTCTGCCTATCTTCTCACTTATGTTCAGCCCCCAAAGCATCTTAGTGGTTCTTCGCTGTCCACATTCCAGTTTCTCAGTGTCTTGTAACTGGGTGTCTAAAACTGGATGCAGTATTCCCAGTGTGACCTCATGAGAACTTAATAAAAGGGAATAATCACTTCACTTGACCTACAGGTTATGCTTTTAACCTAACATGTCATTAATATTAATTAATGCAAATGTGTGTTGATAATATAGTATTGTGTCTAATAAACGGTTCATATTGTTTTTTTCTATATGTACACAGATTACTGCTGTGGTATGGCTCTTATCTAGTAATGTAGGTAAAAGGGGCTCCACAGTACTTGGAAATGCTTTACTCTATCAAAAAGAAACCAAATTTATTAGGAACTGAAAAGGTTTAGGGCCACACAAAGCATTGCTTTCTAGAACTGGAATTGCATCTGAAGCTTACAGTGTAATTTAAACTATCACTATGGTTCCCCAGCCATGACTGTCCTTCATCAATACATTTAAATGCCTCGGTGAAACTTCTTCCTTCTGGATTGCCATGCTTGGTTTGTCATTCCTCCCTGGTGCAGAAGCGTCTTGTGTAGATCCTAGTTCTTCCATCCTACTAAGTAGAGCACTTAAATCTAAGCTTGAAAAATAGGCAGATTAAAGACGAGAGATAGTACCAAGAAAGTATAGCATTTGAAATGGAATCAACTCCCAGACTGAATTACTTCCTTCTGGAAACAGAGACAAGAATCAGATTTTGGCCAACAGGCACCTCTGTACCCATAGACAAGATAAACAAGGCCAATTTATTTTATCACTTATCTCCGGCTATTTAACTGTATGAAACTTTTCAAAGTGGCAAGAAAGGTCATAGAAAGTAATAATGGAAGAGGAAGCTATTGTGTTATTCAAGGGACGTTGCATACTACTAGCAGTCACTCGGTCTCTTGGTTATACTGCACATTCGTTAACTGATCTTTAAAAAGCTAAGCACTTAAAATAGAAATGCTTTAATTGGTAAGTTATAAATAATTTATATCACTTCGTATAAAATTATATAACTATTGAATAACTTAAACGAAATCAGGAAAAAAAAGTAAAGATACCAAATAAATCCAGTTGTTCTCCAAAATAAATTGATAGGCTGAACGCAGGGGAATTCCTAAGCAATGATTGGTGAAAATCCCGGTGATCTCAGTGTATCTTATATACGAAAGTGCAGACTGACTCACTTGGAATTGGATTCCAGTGTCCCAAGGATGAACATGAAGAATCACATGTCATGATTTCTTTGCATTATTACTTTTTTAAGAATTAGATCTTTCATGTTGATAGTCAATATTTTTCAATATCGATAGTCAATTTATTTCTCAGGGAAGAGTTTTTGTGCAATTTCATGAAGATCAAGAAAGCAAGCAATTATTCAGAATCAAAAAAGTCACTTTTTTAAACTTATACCTGGATTTTTTGTTTGTTTATAGTTTTCCTCACAATTCACCTACATGTGAGATCACTGAAACCAATTTTACAACTTGTGCAATATTTTTTACATGAAGGTTTCATTCCTGTGACATAATTTGTTCTAAGCTTTCTGGAGCTTTCTGAGATAAATTATTGAAGTATTTTCCTCATTGATTCCTGAGAAGTCCAGTTTATAGTAACATTATTTACTGCTTCAGTAGTCGATCATTGTAAGCAGAAAAGCAATGTGATAAACATCTTTGTTTAACAGACTAAGCTGATTTGAAGCACAATATTGATTATCAATTGTAATCTGTTTGCAGGTGAAGAAAAAGAAATCACTTCCTTATTGAGTCCTAACTTGCCAAAAATTACATATAGCTTTATAAATGCTTTAATTATATTAAAGGTGTCCAAAAAGTACTAGGAGTGGATATTTACTGTTAGTCCAACAAACCTAAATTGGAGAATGTTGAAGTATGGAAATAGTTGCATGAAGCTGGTAATGTCATCGTAGTGCACATTTGATATGTGTAGTTTACATTCCTTTGGTCTTCTATTTGTCAAATTGACAAAAATGCAGTAATCTAGTATTAACTACATCATGTATTTTGATAACTCTAATCTTCCCCATGGTGGAAAAAATCATGTTTAATTAAATTATATTGACAAGATCAGTGGAAATTATTTGGTAAGCATTTTTTCATTTAGGATACAAAGAAAGTAAGCACCACAAAGATAAGTATTAAGATTTCAGATTAAGATTCATGGGGAATTTTATCAAGGACAAAAACATCCTTGTATTTAGTTTTCTTCATCAAATCTAATTTAAACATAAGGATAATAGGCACTGAAAAGACTATTCATTTTAGCAGTGTTTTGAGCAAAGTGGACAGTAGTCCAGAAGCAGTTCAAAGATCTTTTTGTAGTTTGAAATGGAAGCTTAATTAAAAAAAAATATCAAAGCTCAGTAATCCTGTTTTTACTTATCTAGCACAGCTGTAGTTAAAAGGAGCTTCAGTAAAGCGTGTATTGACTCCAAAACAGTTTTTATTCCAAACTCTTCTTGAGCTAAGTTGATTTGTTTATTTCCTTTTCTTGTAATGTGGTTGTCAGGTATAGGCTGTAGGGAGTTCAGGGAGCTTTTGCATAATGCTTATAGTAGTCCATATTCTTTCTCTTCTATATTTTGAAGTTTTTTTTGCATAGATTTTTGAATAGCTAAAAAAAAAAAATCTTGGTCTCTGCTATTATTTACTACAGAAATTTTTAAACCAAAATCCTCTGCATGTTCATGAGTAGTCAGCATGGCTGTACAAAGGGCATCTCGTGATTGACCAACCTGATAGCCTTCTACGATGAAGTGACTAGCTTGATGGACAAGAGGAGAGCACTGGATATTGTTTACCTTAATGATAAAAAAAAAAAAAAGCCTTTGACATCATTTCCCATAACACTGTAGACAGTGAGGTGGAATGCAGATGAGCTGAATGGCCAGGCCAAGAGGTTTGTGTCTCAAAGGCCAGTTGAAAGCAAGTCACCAGAGATGTATCCCAGAGGCCGGTACCAGTGGCAGTAAGGTTTAACATCTTCAATAATGACCTTGATGATGGAACAGAGTGCACCTGCAGGAAGCTTGCAGATCATGCGTTACCTGGGTGGAGTCACTAGTACATCAGGTGGTTGTGCCTCTGCTCAGAGGGACCTCAGCAGGCTGGAGAATTCTCACGAAGTTCAAAAAGGAGAAACGCAACCCTGTGTATGGAGTGGAATAGCCCCAGGCACCAACCCATGCTGGGACAGACTGGTTGTAAAGCAGCTGGGCAGAGGGACCTTGGGGTCCTACTGGACAAGCTGAACGTGAACCAGCAATGCACTCTTGTGGCAAAGAAGGCCAACAGCATCCTGGGCTGCATTAAGAACAGTGCTGCAAGCAGGTCAGGGGAGATGATCTTTACTTGCCACACTGGTGAGGCTGCATCTGGAGTACTGTATCCAGTTCCCCAGTACAACAGAAATAGAGCGCATACAGGAGCAAGTTCAGTGCGGGGCCACAAAGCTGATGAAGGGACTGGAGCATCTCTTACAGGAGGAGAGACCGAGAGAGCTGGGAATGTTCAGCCTAGAGAAGAGATGGCTTATGTGGGGTATCTTACCCATGTGTACAAATAAAAGGGATCCACATTCTTCCCAGTAGTACCCTCTGAAAGGACATCAGGCAATGGCATAAATTAAAATACATTAAATTCCATCTGAACAGAAGAAGACTTAGGGTGGTCAAACACTGGAACAGGTTGGCTGGAGAGGTTTGGAGTCTCCATTTGTGGAGATGTTTAAAACCCAACTGGATGTGGCCCTCAGCAACATGCTCCAGCTGACCCTGCTTGAGGAGCGGGGTTGGACTAGATGATCTCAATAGGTCCCTTCTAACCTAAACTGTTCTGTCATTTTTCCAAGTCTTAAATCTAGGCTATAGCATCCTATGTAATTACTGTGCCTATAGAGCATCCTTAGCTCTTGTCATTTATTTGTTTTTATTTTAGGATCTGCAGGTTTGAATTTTGTTACAGAATATAACCTTGTAATAGAAGTAATAAATGTTTTCAGATGCAGACTTCTGGGTTGTTTAAAGAATTCTCTATAGCTTGTCTGTCTTAGCTTAAAGATCTTCTGAAGATGAACTCATGACTTCATTCAGATTTTCCAGTGAATGCTACTGTTTCAACCTACCTCTTCCACACAACACTGACACCAGCAGAACTGACCAGAGACCTGAGAGGTGCTCCAGAAGCGCAGGAAACCTGCTGCATAGCACAAACAGAACAGTTGCACGGAAGTTGGAAATCACTGCCTATTTCACTGACATAGTCTTGTATATTAATGCTATTGCAAGTTTAGTTTATCATTGTGATTTCTTTCATGACTATGTATTATATATAATGCTAAACCTTTACTTTTAATTTACAGGATGGAGGTTTGCTTCTAAATAATCCTTCTGCACTGGCAGTTCACGAGTGCAAGTGTCTTTGGCCAAATGTTCCATTGCAGTGTCTGATATCGCTGGGTACTGGTCGATATGAGAGTGAAGGAAAGACAAATGTCACATACACCAGTCTGAAAGCCAAACTCACAAATGTTATCAGCAGCGCAACTGATACAGAAGGTTAGTGTCTTAAGGTGCATTTGTACTGTGATTATTTTTTTTAAGATTCTTAGAATTATCATTCTCGATTATCGTAACTGAGGTTGTCTTAGAATACAAGATAAACATTTTCCAGAGAAAAAAACATGTATAGTGTTGTTTGCAAACTTCTAATGAGAAAGGTGGTTTTTTATGTTTTGTGTTTTTTTTTTTTTTTGATAAGACAATGGTGGAAAGATGTTTACTTAGCAAAGCAGTACATACTTAAAATCATTGTGTCACTCCAAAGCACTTGGTGTTCAGATTGTAGGACTGTCTCTCTCTCCTGTAAATGTAACAGTTTCGTACATTTGTTTTAAATACAGAAGTTCACACCATGCTGGATGCACTGTTACCACCAGATACTTACTTCAGATTTAACCCTCTTATGAATGAAGACATACCTCTGGATGAAAGTCGGAAAGAGAAACTCAATCAGCTGCAGACAGATGGAATTCGCTATTTAGAACGAAATGAAGAAAAACTGAAAAAAGCTGCAAAAATATTAACACAAGAAAAATCGACTTTGCAGAAATTTCATGATTGGATAAGGTTAAAGGCTGACATGTATGAAGGCCTTCCCTTTATTTCCAAATTGTGAATATGTAATGCATGAAAGATTGTAAATGTAAATCCTATTCCAGAAAACTCCTCCAGTACTGTAAAGGAAGAATGTTTATTGTGGGTAAATAACATCTCTGGAAAGCTGTCCGTAGAGTTCTGGTGAAAGCAGTTCAGGATGGCTGTTTTGTGCACACTTAACTTGATATAAAGTTTTATGGTGTTAATTATTTTTTGAACTTTAGGGATCTTAATGTTGTTCTACTTAAATTTGTTAAAGTTGGTAAAAAATGAAAATTATGAAAACAATTGTGCTGTACATTTTTCAATGTATGTACCATAATTATGGTGGCAGTGAGACTTTATTCATCAACTACCAGGCTTGTTCAAAATTAACAAAAAATAAAATCTTCTTTCGCTTTAGAGTAGGCAATATACCTGTTGAGGCTCTTATGCAGCCAGTTAATATAAAGAAATGTAACATCTTGGAAACACTTTTCCTGTGTTAATTGCACTTTTACATTTGAAAGATAACATCTAAGTTCTTTTTTTATTATTTCCAATGTTTTTGTATATAACCGTATTCAGTAAGATGTTTAGATGACTATAAATGGCATATTAAATTATCAAAATTAACTGATATTCTGGGGACTTGCTGCTTATTGTTTTCACTGGAATGACTTCACATTGGTTCATTCATTATTTGAAAATAATCCCAAGCCCCCAGACTTCATTTGAGCTGCTATTCCTGTCAGAGGATAAAGGAAATAACTAGTGAACTGTTTGAAAATGTTATGCGAGTTGAGAAGCTTATTATAGAAGCTTCAGTTTTGGATGCCAAACTTCACGTGTTTCTAGGCAAGAGAAATTTAGCAGTTGATACCTGAATAATAAATTATGCATTTCCTTTTATCTTTTAACTTTCATATGTGAATCCTCTCGAAGTTGTTCAAGTTGCGAAGTATTATTTACAGCATGCTACAATCTTACTACTCATTTCTGTGCAACTTCTTGCCTATGTCAAGCAGAGGGGTGTGGTAAGCAATGGCAATACTGGACATCAGTAAAGTGACATTTTCAACAACAGGAAGGTACAAGTGAATTCTTAGAAACAATATCATAGGACAGACAAGAAGTGTCTGTGTTTAAATGAGGTTCATTCTGTGAAAAGATTTGGTTCATTTTAAAAGGCAAAAAACTGCCAATTTTTGTACATATTGCTGTCTTGAGGAAAGGGAAGGAGGTGCTTATTTCAGAGGAAGATCTGGATTTGCAATTACACTCTTTTTTTTGTTGGAAATCCTTTTTCCTCTATTGTTTATTGCTGTAACTACTTTTTCCTAGGTGTAGGGTTTTTTTACAAATACACTTAGAATTGAGTTTAGCTACAGAGTAATTAATTCAGACTGTTTTAGGCCATGTTGTATAAATTCACAGGATGCATGTATCGAATCCTTTCAAAATAAACTCTTTGATCCTCAGCATTGACAGTGCTGCACTATCAGGCACTAATTAGGAGTCTGTGCTCCCTTCAAAACCACTTTAAAATGCGCAGGCACAACAGATTTATCACTCTAACTGTAATTAGTTTCCAGTTACTTTAAAAATATCAGCAACTTGCGAGGATTCCCAACTATCACGGATGTGTTCGCTACAGCACAGAGTATAAAGTAAAATTATTTTCAGGAAGTTTATTGAGGCATTAGGTGTGGAGTCCCACGTGATACTCTAAAACAGAAGAAAATGAAATAAGGAAATTGGAACTGGATAGACAAGGAAAAAATCTTTTAAATTGAGGGGGGATGGGTTATTGATAGCAGATGGTTTGGTTGTGGGTCAAATACTAGGATATGCTAAATAATCAATGGGCTGAAGAACGTGATAATTAACAGGTGAATCTAGGAGGGATCATGAATATTTTGAATAATGGGAGTTCAGGGCAGCATGAATGCAAGCAGAAAACAGGCTAGAATGAAAAAAAAAATGCCCCTGAAGAATACAAATATAACAACAATGGAAGGAATAATAATATAATGCAGAAAATCAAGTTAAAGGAATCTTACTGCTTTGAAGAAGTCCCCGTGGGAATGATGTGCATTTATCCAGTTTCCAAACAAATTGAGTCAGCAAATTCACAGCTACAAAAATCAGTATGTGTATCGATGCACCACAGAAAATTCCATGGACAGGGAAATGGGAGTGAGCCTGAAAAATGAGGCATCGGAGTGAATTTGGAATCTAAAATTAAGAAAATAAAAAGTCAGAAGATACTACATAACCATACCAGGTTACTCATTGTCAGAGAAGACAGCAAAGTCTGTCTGCCCAGGTGAATGTTCACATCTGAATGTGACAGGTTTGCATGCTGGAAAAAAAATAATCAAGAAGTTCATACTTTAATTTAGGAAGTGATAATGTCAATCTTTGCAAAATTGATGTAGTGTCCTTGCTCTGATTTTAAAGGGCAGGAGGAAAGAGACCAGACCAGGAAATGAAAAGGTAAAGACATAAAATAATCTCCCTTCGTGCAATATCAAAAAGAAATCACCCCTACGCCATGTCTTAGTTTCTAATTATCTGTGCAGAAGGGGATCTCAATTGGAAGATGATTCATTAGCAAAAGAAAGAAAATAAAACTTCTAAATGTTGTAATGCGAGGCATTGATTTTAAGGTATTTCCTGCCAGTGGCAATTCCA